TGCGTAGTGAGCTAAATATACTTGATTCTCGTAACATAGTTTAAATTTTAGCATGCCTCTGTTTGATAAACTAGTATTTAGGCAAAAAAGTTGAAAAAATTCATATTGTGCATCAAAATGATTTATAAAAGGTAACTCATGTATCATGATCATGGTCTGTATTGATTATTTGTTTCTAGTCATGGTATATAAGTGATATGTGTCCATATCTTATACAGAGAGAGTCATATAGATTATAGCTAACTCCCACTGTTTTGGGAAGTACGGCAGTGCCGCGTCTGCCGTGCGGCAGTGCCGGGCTAGGCACGCGGCAGTGCCGCACTTTGAATCTCAATTGAGATTCGGCCCAAACGGTTTTACTGCGGGACCCATCTACCTTATCTCTTTACCTAGGCCTGCGGTAACTCCCTCTTTCTCTCATTCTCACCCGACGCCGATGCCTGCACCTTCCAAACTTATTTGGGGCAGGGGTGTATTTTGTGTTCACAGCAATGGCATTTAGCCATACCACACCTCCAAATACGTTTCAAAATTGCAAACTGAGCGTAGCTCAGCTGGTTGGGTTTATTGTGGTGGAACCTGCCCACCTGGATTCAAGTCCCCGACTTGACATGAGTACTCGCACTTTCCTAGATTTATTCCAGGATTTAACGGCGCTATTCTTTCAGTGGTAGGCGACGTAGACGTCGATAGCGAGGTGCGTGACTTCATCAATCTCAAGATTTGCTGGTCCAACTCAGTTCTTCGGTGGTGCTCATAGGGATAGGGTGTGCGTGCCTTCATAGGGGTGAGTGTGCGCTCGTATATGTGAGCATCTGCGTCTATAACTGAGTCTCGCAAAAAACATTTCAGAATTCGACATTGCAGCCTCTGTTATGCAAATGTGTCTTCAACTCCTAATGTACTTTGACGATATCCTCATTTACAGTTACACATTTGAACAACCCTAGCGTCAAACATGTACCACCTAGCATGTCTGTAATGGAGAGGCTAGTGCCCGAACGTCCAGCCCTAGGACACATCCGGACGCAGCTCCCAACCATACGGCGTCCGATCTTAGAATGCGCCGCGCTTATCCGGACACGCCCCCATCCCACACCGCTCTCAACTCCCAATGTATGTAGGAGAGTCTATCCCTACCTGTCCCGTCCTAACAGCCAGAACGCAGCAGCGTGACTGACACCCCCATCGCGTCGCGCCGCGCCCCCACCCCATCTGCGTCGTGCCCCATCCCACGCTGCGCTCCACTAGCAGGACGTGCACGACCTGACGCCCCAATCCTGCGTCGCGCCGTGTTGCAACATATGTGGTATACTTCGTGAAACATAACTATGTAGCTATTGCAACATATGCAACATTCAGATACACTTTTGCAACATCTAGATGCAACATCTGTCAAAAAGATTTGAAACACTTGAAACATACACTTGGAACATATGGTTACAACGCAAGATCATCTTGCTGGAGAGTAGATGCTCGCCGGCGTGTAGGTCACCGGTTTAGAGCTCGATGACGGAAGGGAGGTTAGCAGCGACGCGGAGCTCATCGGCGTGGTAGCAGTGAGTGAAGCTCACCGAAGCGAGGGCCGCGCGATGGTCTTGGCGGCAGCGCGCGGAAGTCCTCCTCTTGTCGGTCATGCACGGGAGCAGATGAGACGTGTGTCGAGAAGAAGCGTCCGGTTGGACGCCTGCTTCATATCATTGTTGCATCAGGAAACAAAGCTAAGCACGGTTGATCAGTACACAGGACCTCGGGGAACGAGGTGGGAGTATTCTTATGGAACGACAATTTTTTTATCATGCACAAATGTTGAAATTGGGAAATTCACATTCTCTGCGGACTATAAGCAGTGCCTATAATTCATTCTTATTCTTATGATTTTGGGATTTTTAATAAAAATATTTCTACTCCAATTTACTCTCTAACGTAATGCCCCATCAGTAAAACCAATCGTCAAAACCGCTCGGGATGTAAAAAAAAGACGGTTTAAGAGTTGAGAACAATTCAAGTAGAAAAACCTAACGACCACGGTAGTTAAGAAAGTAAATTGGACTTTTTTTTTGAAGAATTACAGCATGTGGGCCTTGGACCTAGCCATCCCAAATTCCCAATGGACGACACTACAAACAAGCCCAATGGACACACCAGGAAATCGAATGCAAACAACTGAAGCAAAGCATCCCTAGCTGAAACGAGATGTGAAACAGTTTCTCCAATCTCGTACAGACGTCTCACTCTCACGTGAGCCTGTTCGCTTGGAGGAATTCTAGAGGAATTTAGATGGTTTGGAGGAATGCTGGAGGTATTTGTGAGAGAAAAACATTGTTTCGGATAAAAAGAAAAGCGGATCAAGTCGAGTTTAAGGGCACACGAATGGGCCGCCGGACAAAATTGAGCTCAATCAATTTGAAGCTTTTCAAATTAAGTTGTATGTATATATAATTCAAGGGGTGTGTGTATATATATATATATATATATATATATATATATATATATATATATATATATATATATATATATATATATATATATATATATACATTACATTACATCAGTGCTAGCACCCGGAAATCTGCTCTGCACTCCGTTTCACGCGCTCAATGCAGGGCCCACTCTGTTCGAGCGCGAGAAGAGGGGGAAGGGACGGCGCCTCTGGTTCGGAAGGACCAGCCGCGGCGTTGTATGGATGCTCAGCCAGCGCCGAGGAGGACATACTGAGACGAGGCCGCAAAAGGCAAGGAGGAAGATGCAACACCAGATCTACTTTTGAAACATTCAGATGCAACACTTGCAACATACATCTGAAGACAGATGAAACACTTGAAACATGCGTCCAAAACGCTTGCAAAACATACCTGAAAACCACTTGAAACCATTGTAAACATATGCAACATCTAGATAAAACGCTGGCAAACATATGTGTGAAACATATGCAACATCTAGATAAACACACTAGCAACATATGTCTGAAAAAATGAAACTTTGGGAACAGAAGCTTACAACATACGTGTACAACCATTGCAAAATATACAACATCATAATATACTTTTACAACATCGGTATGGAACACTTGCATCGTACCTATAAAACATCTGAAACACTTGAAACATCTACTTGCTGCTTGGATGAAACAGAGGCTCGTCGACATAGAGGTCGACGCCGGAGCGGAGCTCGATGCCGCGGAATGGTGATGGGCGGGATGCCTGCGGGCTAGTAGCTGTGTGGTCTCGACGAGCAGCTGCACGGCTCCAGCGATAGTGCGGGCAGGTGCAGTCCCCCGCGGCGAGGCGGCCCGGCAGTGGAGACGGCGCGTGCGCTGCCTGCTGGGATCGTGGCGAGGCGCCCCTACAGTGGAGCGAGTGCAGTGATGGGGCAGCTGTTGGCGCCTCCTGCGACATGGCTGGATTCTCACTATTGGATAAGGCTGTGTTTAGTTCCCAAAAACTTTCCCAAAAAGTGCTAAGTAGCAATCACATCGAATCTTGCAATACGTGCATGGAGCATTAAATATAGACGAAAAAAAACTAATTGCATAGTTTGGTTGGAAATCGCGAGACGAACGTTTTGAGCCTAATTAGTCCATGATTGAACACTAATTGCCAAATAAAAACGAAAGTGCTACAGTAACCAAATTCCCAAATTTCTCGAACTAAACACAGCCTAAATAATGCAACTGTCAGCAACTGATTTACCAGTGATACGTTCTGTTCATGTCTGAATCGTTTATAAGATCATCATATACCACACTACTGTCTATGCCTGACTATATTACTTCTAATAAATGATCCATATATTGAGGTTATTAACATCTTGTAAAGCATGAACCAAAGACGGCAGGGGTCATTTGGCAGCATAGCAAACAGAACAAGCACAGGCAGCGTGGGGCTGCTCGAGCAGTGCTGCCGAGCAAGCTCACAAATTTCTCTGAAGTTTAACTTTGTTTAGACACTGGACTGCTTGATTACCTTGAAAGCTTATAAAATTCTTGAAATTAGTCAAACCAAAAGAAGGGAGGAAATAACAACCACCACTCTTGATAGCAGTAGCAGGGTCCAACGTTAATCACGAAGAATACTTCAGAAGTTCAGAAGGCTGACAAACTAACGAGGGTGAAATCAACGACTATGTGGCTCGAGTAATAATATTACAAATAAAGTGGTTCACAGAAGGCTCGATGTAACCTTTGAGAGTTACTCCCTCCATTGCAAATTATAAGTCGCTTTGACTTTTTTTATACATAGATTTTATTGTGTATATGTAGACATACGTTATGTCTAGATATGTAGCAAAATTGATGTATCAAAAAAGTCAAAACGACTTATAATTTAGAACGGAAGGAGTAGTATTGAAATATTGAAATTAGTCAGCATATATTGCATCGCTAAAAGATTGTTCTTTTTAACATTAAAGAAAGGTTGTAATATCAGGTTTGACCAGATATATACTAGAATATGTTAATATTTATTATGCGTAATAAATATCATTAGATGAATTGCGAATTCTTTTTATGATAAACTCATTTAGATATACAAATGTTAATGACATTCTCACAAATTTAGTTGAACTTGATTTAGTCTAATTCATCTAATGGCATTGTCTGAGATGAGGGCAGACAAATTGTTATTAGTCCATAAGAGTAGCTCCAGTTTTTGGATCAAGCTATAGGTTGGAAACCGAACTTTCAAGACTCTAGCACTTGACCGCGCTCACTCGATGGAGACATTTGCAAATTTGTCATCGTTATCACTCGGTTTCGCAAATTTACAATTATAATTAAGGAAGCAACAATTCAGTACCATGTTCTGCTGCACTATTTCAGCAATATTTTTCAGCAGTACCATGTTTCTCTCGTAATATTTTAGCATAAGCCAAATTTCAGCGTAAGCGAACTCACCCCTAGAGGTCTAGAGCTAACGAACCTTAATCCACGCTAGCAATTTTGCAGGCCAAAATCAATTGGACACTGGAGCTGTTCTAAACAGCATAACTGTACTAGGTACCTAGGTGACGATTAGAGGCACAGCTTTGATAAGAGGGAAGGCTAAAACGCTGGTGTTGGTGAACTTGTCGCTGACGTCCACCTGGTTCGCCGACATGCCGGCCGGCAGCTGCCACTCGAACGCGTGCACCAGCGACGCCAGGACCAGGGGCACGACCCGCTCTACCATGGGCACGCCGGGGCACAGCCTGCGGCCGGAACCGAACGGGACGAACTCCAGCTGCTTCCCGCGGAAGTCCAGCTCCCTGCCCAGGAACCGCTCCGGCACGAACTCGTCGGGCCTCTCCCACGCCGCCGGGTCGCGCATGATCGCCCACGAGTTGAAAATGACCGTCCAGCCCCGGGCCACCGCGTAGCCGCCGATCTCCACCCCGTCCTCCACGGCCTTGTGCGGCAGCAGCACGGGAGCCGCCGGGTGCAGCCGCATGGCCTCCCTCACCACGGCCTGGAGGTATGGCAGGCCTGCCGCGTCGGCCTCCTCGACGGCCGCCTTGCTGCCGAGGGCGTCCCTGAGCTCCGCGCGTAGCCTGGCCATGACGGCCGGGTTGCGGAGCAGCTCGGCCATCGCCCACACCACGGTGAGCGCCATGGTGTCGCTCCCGGCGGCGAAGATGTCGAACAGGATCAGAGTCAGGTTGTCGCGGGTGATCTTGCCCGTCGACTCGAGCTCCAAGAGTATGTCGAGGAAGTCGCCGTGCTTGTCGCCGCCCTTGTTGGATCCGGACGTGGAGGAAGAAGCCTCGTCGACCAACCGGCGGTCAACGATGTCACCCAAGACCTGGAGGACTTTGGGCAGGTGCCTGGCTACCCGGCGACGACATCCTTGGAGGTCGAGCGCCCTGAGGAACGGGAAGAAGTCGGAGACGTTAGGCTTGCCCATACACTCCATGAGTCCCTCCAGGAGCTCCTGCAGCCCATGTGCCAACGGCGGCGACTCGGCGACAGCGCCCACGTCGACGACGTCGATGGAGAACATCGCGGTCGAGACGAGGTTTGCGACGCCGCCATAGACGGCCTCCTTGACGTCCACGACCGTCCCGGCCCGCCCCCGGACGTACCCGAGCAGGTCCCCGACCTTCCGCTCCCGCGCCGCGCGCGACGCCGCGAGGCTGCGCGGCGACAGGACGTGCGCGGCCATGACGCCGCGCAGGTGCCTCCAGAGCGGGTCCGAGCTGGGCAGCGAGAGGACGGAGCGGTCGCAGAGCCCCAGCGCGCGCTTGCTGTCCCGGACGGGGCGCGCCGCGATGCGCCGGTCGTGCGACGCGAACGCCTCCCGCGCTGCGTCGCGGGAGGAAACCACCACCGCCGGGACCAGACCCAGGTCCAGGCGCATCACGGGGGCGCCGTGCGCGCGGGCCAGGCGCGCCAGCGTGTGGTGCAGGTTGCCCGGCGCGTGGCGGAGGTCCAGGAGGTTGCCGATCAGCGGGAGAGGCCTCGGGCCGGGCGGCCGCCGCCCGGAGCCCGATCCCCGGCGGTGTTGGTTGGTCAGGTAGCAGACGATCGAGACGGCGAGCGCTGCCCATAGCCACCAGAGCTCCGGCGCCGCCATCTCTAGATGTCTCGCCGGTGTTGTGCGCGCGCGCGGCATATATATATGCTTGCCGGTGTGTAGCGGTGCAGCTACTGAACTCAGCTGGCGCTTGCGTATGTATCCATTGCTGCCGCTTTGATGGCAGAGCAAAGTCGTTGAAGATGGATGACGTTGCAGTCTCCCACTTGGTACGCAGCTTCTGCCGCTGAGACGTGCTGTCATTGTCAGATGGATTTGTCGATCATGGTCATTTATTAGTGTATGTACGTATGTGATAAGCCGTGCTGTCGATGACACAGCTATATACAATTAGCCAGACGTGTTGGTGACTCAATTGTACCTCTTCTTGCGTCTAAAAATAATACAGCTATATATACACAATAATAATTTCACTATATATTTCTGTACAACTAGATAAATATCCGTGCGTTGCAAGGAAAAAATGATACGATAAACATGTGTTATATTATTAAAAAATATTTTCTGAACGTGATGTCAAGAACATCAATATTATAAATTTAATTTTGTGCATGTCTAAAACTAATAGGAGCAATTATGTTCTAATTATATCATCTGACAAACCTCAATTCCACACCATAACAGCATCCTAAGGGTATTGACTCGGCAAACACCAGCCGTCAAGTAGTTCTTGCAATTCTCCTTGTTGTGTTCATATTATCCTGCATATAAACTATTTGTTAATATTAAAGCAAGAGTACTCTTGACCATATGGAGAAAATATGTATTGCCCTGAGATATTGCCTAGAACCTCTTTTACAGAGAAAAAAACTAGCAAAATACTGACTCGCGAAAAGGGCACAGTGCAAAGACCCGCCTCCTGGCGGGCTCCCCAGCGCTGCCGCCTCCCAGGCGCCGGTGCCCACCGCTCAATTGCCCGGCTCCCCCTCCCCTTCCCCCTTCCCTCCTCCTTCCCCCACGCGACCCTCCTTCACTCAGCCATGCGCGGGACGCCTCGCATCCCCATCGATGGAGCTGCCGGTAGCGGCTGCCGCGCCGTATCATCCAACGGTGGGTGCAACAACACCGGCGGCTTCGGCTCCAACACCCTATGCCTGCCCCTGCAAACTCCGATGATGGGGAAGCCCGGCAGGCCCGGATCTAGGGCTGCGCCGCCGTCGCCGGAGCCGGTCATCGTCCAAGCACCAGAGACCGTCGTCCCAGCCGCGGATGCGTCGAAGATGATGGCTTCGACGCCCAGCTCGCCACAGGTGCACACCCGTCGCCCACAGGGCTCCGCCACTGCCCCGTCCCCCCCGCCGCCGATGCCAGACTACGCTGCTAGGACCACCACCGGTGTCGGGCTCACCCACGCGGGGTCCGTGGTGTCCGGTGCTACAGCGCCTCAACGGGACCCTCGGACGCCCGCGCCGCCATCGACGCCGAGAGCCGCCGCCGTGACCGCCACCGTTGAAAGGTCTAGTTTGGTTTTGGTGAATTGATAGTGCTAACCTAGTTTATCAAAATGATCATGAAATAGGTAGCACTATTCTAAGTGTTGAAGCAATGGTGAAGATCATGATGATGGTGTGACCATGGTGATGATCAAGTGCTTGGGCTTAGAAAATAAGAAAGAGAAAAACAAAAAGCTCAAGGCAAAGCTGAAACTTGATAGGAGCTTTTTGGGTTTGGTGATCAAGACACTTAGCGAGTGTGATCATATTTAGGATGGATAGCCGTACTATTAAGAGGGGTGAAACTCGTATCGGAATACGGTTATCAAAATGCCACTAAATATTCTAACTCATTACATATGTATTTAGATCAGGTGGAGAACTAACCCCCTTAAAAATGTTTGTGAAAATATGTTAACAAACGTGGTCAGGTAGCAGACGATCCCCAGCGGTGTTGGTTGGTCAGGTAGCAGACGATCGAGACGGCGAGCGCCGCCCGTAGCCACCAGAGCTCCGGCGCCGGCATCTCTAGATGTCTCGCTGGTGTCGTGCGCGCGCGGCATATATATAGGCTTGCCGGTGTGTAACGGTGCAGCTACTCAACTCAGATGGCGCTTGCGTATGTATCCATGCATCGCTGCCGCTTTGATGGCAGAGCAAAGTCGTTGAAGATGGATGACGTTGCAGTCCCCCACTTGGTACGCAGCTTCTGCTACTGAGACAGCGTTTGGTTGGTGCTTTTGTAACGTAAATAAATAGATAACGGAGGGGATGCGATTGCGATAGATTTGTTTGTTTCAGGCTAGCCCGCAATCCGCTGCCCCGTAAACGAATACCCGCCCATAGAAAATTGATACCGGTGCTCCTCAGCCGTAATCCCATCCAGGCAGCGAGTCGAGATCCCACTGAACATCGGCCATTGGCCATTGGCCATTGGCCATTTGCGTTTACACTGTTAGAACCAAACAAAATCAGGAATCTGCTCCATCTGTTACCATTAACGCTGTTTTCCATTCCCTTTGCGTTTGCTTTTACAGTGCGCAACCAAACAGCACGTGAGTTTGTTTAGTTCCTCCCCTAGGGTATACTTTCTATCACATCGGATATTTAGCACATGCATGGAATATTAAATATAGACTAAAAAATAACTAATTATACAGATTGTGACTAATTTACGAGACGAATTTTTTAAGCCTAATTAGTCCATAATTTGACAATGTGGTGCTACAGTAAACATGCGCTAATGATGGATTACTTAGGCTTAATAAATTTGTCTCACGGACTACTTAGAACTTTTATAATTTATTTTATTATTACTATCCAAACACTCCGATGTTATATCCGATATTACATCTCTAAACTTTACTCTCTGAATTTAAACACCACCTTAGACGTGCTGCCACTGTCAGACAGATTTGTCGATTATGGTCATTTATTAGTATACGTATGTGATAAGCCGTGCTGTCGATTAAACAGCTATATACAATTAGCCTGACGTGTTCGTGACTCAATTGTACCTCTTCTTGCGTCCAAAAATAATATAGCTATATATACACAATAATAATTTCACCGTCTATGGTTGCTAAACCAGTTGGTCAAGCGTCCCAGTGACTAGAGTCTTCCCTATGACTAGAGTTCGAATCTTTGTTTAAGTGAATTTCTGATCGGTGGTGTAGAAAAAAAAAACTCCTCACCTAAGCTAAAATAGATCGGGGGTGTTTACTCCTCGCAGCCCGAGTTTTATTTTATAATAATTTCACCATATATTTATGTATAATATAACTATTATATCTACTCTACACGTAACAGCCCGAGTTTTATTTTATAATAATTTCACCATATATTTATGTATAATATAACTATTATATCTACTCTACACGTAACACGTGTATATATGGAGTAATTTCACTTTTTCCGTCTTGGGTCTGTTGTCAGTTCCCACCGTGCGGTCGAGTCCAGTGGAGGAGTAGAGTTGGTGCGTGCGATACGGAAGCGCTTCGATACGGAGCCCAGCCGCCCAGGTACGATACGACACGTTGAAGTTGACGCATGAATGAATCAATTCATGGAGAAAAAGAAAAGAGGACAATGGAAGGAAGAAGAGTAACAATCGGCCAAATTAAAGGAAGCGTGTGGGTGAATCCAAAGTCGTCCAATTACTCCCCCACATGTCGTTGAAGACAACCACAGGAAATTGGGACTTTGCCTAGTGTTTAAATCTTTGCCGAGTGCCAAATATCGAGCACTCGGCAAAGGCCACCATACGTGATGATGTTCTGGTTTGTGAACACCATACGTGATGACGTCCTCCAAACGTTTTCAAATTTTTACCACCGCATATGCATGTGATATCACGACATCTCGCCAAGTTTCATGATTTTCGGGATTCGTTTGAATTTTATAGAATTAAATAACCACTCGCACGCAAGTTCGCGACGTTGCCCCGTGAGCACGTTGATCGAAATTTGGAGACAGTTCCTAGATTTAGCATAAAGTGACACTAACAAACAAGAATAACATTTTTGGAATGGATTAAAACTATTATTCGATGCACCTACAGTTCAAACTTACATTTTCCGGAAAATTGCAAGAAAACGAAATAAAGTGAAGAAATATAGCAAACAGCAATGAAATTGTACTAAATTTGAACATGTTGTTCATGGTACAAATACAAATCTAAGAAAAAAGTTGGTGGCAAAAAACAAAAAAAAAATTATTTTGCCGAGTGCCAAGGTTTGGCACTCGGCAAAGTGAATATTTTGCCGAGTGCTAACCCTAGGCACTCGACAAAGCCAGGACAGGATTTTTTTTAATTTTTTATTTCACCGAGTGCCAGATCGGGAGCACTCGGCAAAATACTTTCTTTGCCGAGTGCCCCGGATCTGGCACTCGGCAAAGAGGTTTGAAATATAAAAAAACTGGACACACGCACACACACCACGCACACACCACACACACGCCAGACACACACGCACTTGCCGCCGCTTGGCCAGCCAGCCGCTTGCCGCCGCCCGCTCCCGCTGCCAGCACCAAGACGCCTCGGCCTTTCTCGACCCCCGTGCCCGCACGCGCCCTTGAAGGAAGGAGGAGGAGGTAGGAGGAAGAGGAGGAAGGAAAGGAGAAAGGAGAAGAAGGGGAGGAGGAAGAAGAAGAAAGAGAAGGGAGGAGGAGGAGGAGGAGGAGAGGAAGGAGAAGGGAGGAGGAGGCAGGGGAGAAGAGAGGAGGAGGGAGGAGAGAAGGAGAAGAGGAGAAGAGGAGAGAGAGGAGAAGAAAGGTGCCGCCTCGGTTTCCGTCGACCCTCACGCCAGTAGCGGTCGTCCCGTTGTCGTCGATGGCCCTCGGTCTTCAGCATTCTCGGCTGGCAAGGTATGCCCTAATGTTAGTATTAGTTAGTAAGTAGTAGTGTTAGTAGTAGTAGTTAATTAGTAGTGTTAGTATTAGTTAGTAAGTCGTAGTAGTGATGTAGTAGTTGTAGTTGTTGTTCATAGTTTTAGTGTTAGTAGTAGTTATTGTTGTATGTATGTGGTTGATGGCCTTCGTGCCTATGTTTGGTATACATGTGGTTGTTGGCCTTCGTGCCAATGTTTTTCTGTAGGTTTTGGGAAC